TATAGATATATATATAGATCATATAAACACTTCACATACCCCTGTTTGCATGTAGGCCGATATCTTTGAGATGGGCGCGCGCAAGGATCTGTCCCGGGTGTTGGGTGAAGAGACTCTCCGAGGGGTAGCCCAAGAGTACATCGAGATCCTGAGAGAAGTCCTATTATTCGACAATTGTGAGAGAACAATCTCTTTGTCAGACATTTGTCGTATGAAGCAGTGTGTCGGTCCAATTATACGACAGGTCCGGAGGATAAAGGATAGACACACACATACTCACTCACTCACTCATACCAACCCATCTATGGTTTAACACCCACAGAGTCTTGAGCACGAGAATACCACCACATATACATACACACAACCGGATTCGAATAAGTATGTTATGCAAAAACACACATACAGGCACACATGTACACACACATGTGCACACAATATATGACACACTCACAACCACATACATACACACATACAACTACATATAACTAATCATACGTGTACACATATGTGTGCACGCAACAATACATGACACACTCACAACCCCACACATACACACATACAACTACACCTACACCTACACCTAAAAGTACACATACACACACATACATCCACACCCACATACTCGCAAACACACACATCCACACACACCTCCACACACACATCCACACACATATCCACACACACATCCATACACAAATCCACACACACATCCACACACACATCCACTCACGCATCCACACACACATACTCACAAACACACACATCCACCTACCAGATCCATCAAATCTCCCAAATCGCCCATATCATCACCAAAGTCAACCTGCGCGAAGTTAAAGTCTCCGGAGATGAGGTTATCTGGCTGACCACGCCTCAGGGGCTGTAGAGTGCTGTTGTTGGCGATGAACGTAGCTGTGGCTTTGTGTTTCTTGTCAAAGGGGATGCCATGCACACGCTTGTAGTTCCAGACACGCCAGGTCTTGTACTGTAGCACGACGGCTGCGTTGACGCTTGCTGGAGGGTGGGGAGGTGGTGGGAAGGTTAGGATATATATATATATATATATATAAAATGTGTGTGTGTACATTCTATTACTCATATAAGTGATGCTTGTTTAAGAGTATGCAGTACACACGTTTATTGTTACACAGGTTTATACTGTTGCACTACTGTCGGAATGAAACTCGCTCAGCTAACAATAACTCAACGATATGTAAGGAAAATGACAATACGTGCGAACATGTAGTCAGCACAAGGAACAAGGAATATAGTATATGTGCATATATATATATATATATATATATAATAGTACGGAACGGTA